CATCAATTTCATTTATTTCTCAACGATCAAAAATTTTTCATGAACAGACAAATTTTATTTCATCATGTCAACAAATACCAAAAGAACAATTTGAATTAACATTTTTAAATACAACAACAACAACAACAACAATTTCAAATTTATCTTATAATCAATCAACATTAACATCATCAAATAATTTTAATACATCTCTTTTCTATTATCCAACAGGTCAAAATTTTACTTATTTTCAATCAACATTATCTTCATCAAAAATTAATTTTCATGAAAAAATTTCACAATCATCTTCATTAATTATTCCATTAAATAATTCTTCATCTTCAATTGATCAATTTAATTTAAAACATCAATTATCTCAATCTTCAACAAGGTATGTATCTCAAAATGGCCGAAAGAAAAACTAGCGAACGAAAGAATAACAAAAATGAAAATGTCGACACGGAAAAAGGCGAAAAACAAATGACGAAAGAAAAAATGTCGATCATATAACAACACCGAAAATATAAATTTGACTAAAAATATTGAAAATATTCTAGATATCGTTAAGTGACGCTATATCTTTCAGCTCTGTACTAGAATCTACTTGAAGACGCAGATCTAAATCGGTAGTTCGTAGTTTCAATTAGATCTACATCTTATTACTACGTTTCATACCGACATTCTGTCTTCTTCTAACTGACAACATAGATCTGCAAGACTAGTTTTTGTTGATATCTAACCACAGGAATGTTATGAACTGCAGTTGATCTTCCAATTTCGATATTTTCGTTTTTTTTCGCAGAAAACCTTCAATATTTTATTTGTATTTTTGCTCAATACTTCTCAGAAAGTTTCTCAACTCCTCATAAATTCGATCAATTTCACCAACAATCTTTCAATCAGATTCCTGAATGATCAAACCCAGCCTGTTCCCAGTCTTGACAATCTGGGAATATTCTGTTTATGTAGCTATTGCATTTTTGTATGTAGTAAAATATCTTCATCCCACTAGTTGAGAATGTTAAAATAAAGTTTTTCGACATTATAATACGATTGGTGTTCTATGTTTTTTACTATAAAGTCTTCGCCTTTTTAGGTAATTCGCCATATTTTATATTCGCTATTTTATTCTTCACCATTTTTTTCTCGACATTTTTTCTTTCGTTCGCTATTTTTTCTTTCGGCCAATTTTTAATGCTATTTCTTCAACAAATACATATTTAAGTCAAATTACAAATACAACATATTTATCATCTCAATCATCAATTAAAACTAAACCATTACCAACAGTTATGATTACAGATGTTGATCGTTTACATACAGATATAATTGAACTTGAAAATTTTGAACCCGAAAAAGATTGTCATTATACAAAATCTCAATTAAAATATTTACTTAATGATCGAATACCACAAACAATCAAATGATATTTTGAAGAAAAACATTACCTTCTTCATCTTCATCTTCGTTTTCATCTCCAGTACTTTCCGTTGTTAATTTTTCTGTTCTAGTTTGTTTATAACCAGGAAATAAATGTTTTGGCATTGGCGGAGCTACACACACACACACACACACAAAAATAGAACAATATTTTAAATATAATTTTATTTTATTAATATACCTTTTGGTATTCGTTGTCTTCTTAAAGCAAAATAAGAACGTCGAAAAGCAGGTCGTTGTGCATAATAATATAAATTATCTAAACTAGTTGAGAGTACTTGTGTTCCATGAGAATCTTTTGGAACAATCGGTCTTTGTACATATGGATAACGATTTCGATTTTGTTGATAATGTGGAAAATGATGATGATGATGATGATGATGAGGATGACTATGTCTTTGAATTGTTGTCGATGGCAATAGACGATCAACATCAATAGCTGCTATTGAATGTGATAATGTTTGATCAGTTGTTGTTATAGGTCCAACAAAATTTACATCATCGGGATGTTCATTTACACCCATATTAATATAAACCGGAAGTGTTGGTGCAGAAAAACCTTGTAAAATATCAAATGATGTATCATTTGGTGATAAAGTAGATGCATCCATATAAATAGATGATGATGTTGGATATAATTGATCTGTTTGAATTGGTAAAATATTCTCAAGTGATGCATCATATGTAGATATAAAGGATGAATTTGGTTCATTAGTATCATATAATATTTCTATTGGTTCACTTTCAATAGATGAATTTGCCATAGTATATATATATATATATATTTATTAAAATTAATATCTAAAAATAAAAACATATGAATATTTTACCTTTTCTTTACTTTTTGATTCTGAACGCACATGGTTATATATGACTCAACAGATAACATCATTTGCTTATCTTTCAGCCATATTAATAGTACTCAAAACCTTTATTCGTTTTTGAGAAAAAAGATGGTGCTAATTTGGAATGATTTTTAACAAAAGTAAAAAGAAAACATTAGACTTCTTCGAACCAAATACAAACGATGTAACTTGTCCTTTGTTGGCCTTCGTACGCAAATAGAAGATTAGTATTTATTTTTACCTGTGCTTTTTCTTTTCTTTTTTGTCTTCTGTTTTTACTGATAATGTGTTTAGTTTTACGTATATTGAAATGAAGAAGATAACATTTTTTGATTTTTATCATATAAAATCTATTGATTTATTTATTTACAATATATAGAAAAATTAGAATAATACATGAATGAACAAATAAGATTAGTAAGATGTTTAGATATAAATGAATTTGATTAAATTTCATCAGCAATGTCACGAAGATGTTGAGCGATTTCTTTAATAAGATTTTCTCTTCCATTTATTATAAAAATCATCTTTTCTTTTTTTTTTTTGATTTGCAATATCATATTATCATGAAGTCAAAAGCGGTAGATTATATTAAGTTCTATGATAATGATAAATATACATATCTTTTTACCGGAAGTTGAATATAAAAGAATAATTACACTTTTTGTGATGATTGTGATTGATGAACAAACAAATTTATATATACATACATGTGTCAGACACACATTCTTGTTGAAAGATTAAAATCAAGATCAAAGATGACATAGATACGTATTTATAAAAACTTAATATAATGAAAGTAAAGAATAAGCTTTAACTCTGTGTGATATGACGATGAGAGTTCATTTCGAAGAATACTGGAAAAAAGAATCTTTTTTCTCATTGAACTGACTTCAAAAATTTTGTTAGTTTTATTTTAAAATCTCGAAGGATTTTTTTCATTATCCATATTGGTAACTCAATCCTGCTATTTATTTAATAATAATTAGTCCATATACAACATACATTTTATATTTATTTTTATTATAATGCTTGGCGCAAAAGTGCTATTTCGATTCACACAAGAAATGTTACATATGCACTCTACGAACTAACCATGGAATACTTAGTAGCCATCAGTTTGATCTCTATCGGTTTGTAAAGCTACAAAAAAAAAAAAAAGAAGTTTTCAAAGATCGATAATGTTTAAAGATATTCTCATATACTTTAGAATTTTAAATATAATAGACTTTACTAATATTGAAGATGAAATATAATCTGTCAATTGTAAATTTATATGATAGCAATGTATTGTTGAAAAAAACATTCAAAAACGAGACATTTTCATCTTATTTATATCTTATCTTCTTTATGTTTTCAGTTTATCACGAAAGAATTTAATCAATTCTATGTAAATGTAAATGTAAACGTAACTATGTAATTATGTTCGTAAATCGTTTTTTTTTTCTTTTTGCTTTGATAGATTCACTATTAAATATATTGTTGATCGGTTGTCTAAGTGACAAATTTTTTTTTTGTATGTGTCTTGATCAAAAGAGGAAAAAAAGGATGTGTCATACATACATTTACCTATTTAAACATTTTATAAAAGAAAAAAAAACAGCAATATTAAAGAGAGAAAAAAAAATATCGCAAAAGAAATGTTTTAAAGATGTTGGTTCAACATTAAAATTCTTTTATTCTCTTTCTTTCACAACATCACAAATAAAAACGAAATTGAGATTAATATATCCCATTACATCTATTCACAAGCGGTGAGTGCTTAAAAGATCAGTAATATAGTTTTATAGGTAGGAAAGAGATGTACACTCTTCATTTCCTAGAAAGATTTTTTCTTTTCAATTTCATTTTCATTATTCAGATCAATTTGTACTGGTTGCACTCTTCGTTATCTTACTTCGTTATATTTTTGAAAGAAACTTATTAAAACATATTGTTAAGTGTCTGACATCAATAATAATATAATAATATAATAGATAGGAGAAAATTTTGAAAGGTTTTCATAACCTGTAACTAACAAAATGATTTGAAGGTTAAAAACAAAGAAGAAAGTCAAATAGTTTTTGAAATTTGCTTGTTTCGTTTTTCTTTCTTTCCTAGTTACAAATAAGCCTACAAACAAGAAAGTTATTTATGATTTCGTTTTTTGTGAATAATACTGCAAAGAATTGTTATGAGTACACTCGATAAGAAAGAAAAACAGATGTTTTAAGAGTGTTCCACGGAGAGCATAAACTCCACAACACACTTATTGTATTAGGAGTAGTGAATAATTGTCTATTGCCTCAAAATTGAACAATAAATCATAAGTAAATATATCGAAATTCAAAGTAACTACTAAGATTTTCTTTTATTCTTTCAAAGCTTCAGTTAATAATTTATTTGATTATAGCATCAAAATCAATTTAATAAAAAAAGAAAAAAAAGAATTTTTTTTTTCTTCATTTCATTAAATAATTAAAAAGAAAATCTTTCATATTATTGAACATTCTCGACTAGCGAATAGTGTTATTCATCTATAAATTAAGTATGCTAATAATGTAAAAGAATTCGAGAGATACTTATTCAATTCTTCAATATTGAATCATGTTTCAATTTTAGTCCTGCGGGACAATCTCAAATCCCGAAAAAAACGTTCGTCCCGCAGCATCGTCAAATATATTTTGTCTTAAAAAAAATTATTTTTAGATTTATTCTTTTTTCTTCTTCTTCTAATTATTCCTATTTACAAAATAAATGGCATCATATCAGGCTTTACCATTTGTACGTGATGATTTTCGTTGTTCTCTTTGTCGACAAAAAAATGTTTTTCATTGTGAACATGATACACCATATCGTGATCAATTATTAGGTACGTATGAACTAGAAAAATCAAATACTACAATAACAACGAATAATCGAAGAGATTTTCAACGAACCGGTGCATCTAATAATACTTCACTCAATAAAAAAAAACAAAAGACAAATACGAGACGAAATATAAATTCAAATTCTGGTATGCGAAATCAACAGAATAAAAAACTAAATAACACATCATTATCGAATACAAATACAAATACAAATACAAGTGGAAATACAGTTACAAATACAAATACAAATGGAAATACAGTTACAAATACAAATACACATACAGATACAAATACAAATACAAGTAGAAATACAGTTACAAATACAAATACGGATACAAATAGAAATACAAATACGGATACAAATAGAAATAGAAATACAACTACAACTACAAATAGAAATACAAATACAAATACAAATAATTATAAAATGACAAATGAACAAAAGAAAAAGAAAGGATGTATTATTTTATAGATTCTATTTATTGATTTCTTTTTTCTTTCATTTGTTGTATCGGTATTATTGATGTACAGTTATATTTTAAAAAGAACAAGTAAAATTTTCTTGATGACAATATTTTTTTGTGTGAAGTCAATAAGAAAACTAGGATAAATTCAATCATAATGTATTAGATGTTTTTTCTTTCCTTTAATTTCACATTTACCTTTAAAAATGAATAATTTGATTCTTGTCATTGAAATGAAATATCTTTATTTAGCAACTCATACTTAAAAAAAACTTCAAGTGTGAAAATAATATATTAAATTTTTGATTGACATAATTATTTTTCTTTTCTATTTTGTTGAATATCAAAATAGATTAAACAACAGAATAATAAATTTTTTAAAAAAGAAAATTTCAGGAGAATTTTAAAATCATTTTATCGAAAAGAAAAATTCAATATTATAAATTTAATTTAACTAAATAGGTTGTTTCTTTTATCGCTGATAAAGGAGTATACAGAGTTTATATTCATAAGAGAAAGAAGAATATCTCTGTCTTTCAGCTTCTGAGACAAACAGTCGTTACTGACTTTCTCAAGGTCATTTCATGGTTGGTACTACACAAAGGTTTGAATATAATACCTTGTGAATACATGTCCAACAACTTCATCAATCAGTCATGACGATCTTATTGATAAGATGAACACTGAAAATTTCGCTTTGAACGGCGATCATTGTCTTTAAGAAACAATTCTCATCGTTGACAAGTTATAAAAAAATCCATTTATCCTTCTATTCGAAGATAAAGATTACAACTAATTTTTTTTTATTATTCTCTTACATTGTGTTAGTCGATCCGGAACTCATATCATGCTATTTTATATATGCAAAGATTTACAGTCGTAGACAAGAAGGTATTATTAGAAAACTACGATATAATTATTGGTCTTTTCTAAGGTCAATGGTACTATTTCATGGTAATATATTTTTTTTGACATGTTTCTAATGAATTATGAATATTATTTGATAAATGAATAAAAGAAATCGATTTCTCTGCATGAAGAACGTACCAACAATACTCATTTTTTATTCCAAATAAGCAATTTATGGGGTCATTCTTCATATGAGAATATAGAATCGATTGATTATATCATTCAGCTAAACCTTATCATTCATTTTGTATAGTTAATTAGACCATGGACGTTGAGAAAATAACAATATATCTTTTTGAATTAAACCATTTAACATTCTTCCTTATCTATCAAGGATAATTGTTTGAAAAAAAAACAACCTCAAAATAAATGTTATAGCATTTGTTTATTTTATTTTCGATTAATAAAGATATTGGTTATATACATTGTTGATAATCATCAACACAACATGCATGTAATTGACATTGACAACTTGCTTTGCTCTTATTTCCGTTAATGTCATTCAGCACATATATATATATATATATATATATATACAAATGATATCTTGATGATTAGATGCTTTCAGTTAAGAAAAAAAAACATAAATAAACTTGAATATTACAGTCCAATTATTAATACTTCTTTAATACTATATCAAGGCAAAATCTGTAACGCTTATTAAATTAGTCCATATCGTAAAATTAAAGAACTTTTGATAGTTTAAAATTAAAATGAATCGTTGAGATTGAATGAACTTTTTTTCATTATTAATTTTGATAGATAGTGAAACTTAGAGGTGTCGCGAAAATAGGACAAATTAAATGTATTTATTATCACCTTTTTTAAAATTAGAAATCAAATAAACTATTGTGTAAATTAAAAATGCTTTATTTTTATTTGCAATGTTCTTTTATCATTTCAATTCGATACTAATCAATAATACAGATTCAATAATAATAATAAATTAAATTTTCTTAAAAATGAAAACGTGCATTGATCATATTCAATTAGATAATTTTAATTATAATAATTTTATCTTTTTTTTCTCTATCTATTCATATTGGAGATGAAATTGATTCGTGTTTTTTTTTTGGAATCAAACCGATTCCACCTCGAATTCATATGCAAGAAGATAATTATATGTGAAATCTTATGCGATATTCAACGAGTAGCAGAGTTTATGTGGTGTTGGTACATATGCAGGTACGCATACAGAACAATTTCATATCTTGCTTTTCTGTTATTATTGAATATTTGATGAGAGAGTCGATAAGACAGTGATATTTGTAGGAGTAACTAATTGTATCATTTTATTTCGGCCTACTATCAAATATTCAAAAATAACAGCAAAGAAAGAAATATAGAACTTTCCTGTGTGCTTAACCATTTACATGTTTACACTACATCTTATATACTTTCAATCATCATGGCCTTTTTTTTTAAATGAAATTCAATGAATTATTTTTGTTGTCTTTTCTATCATTTATATTCAAAAAATATGTATCCATCTGTGTTACATCAGTTGATCTTTGTGTTCATTTAGTAATTTGGTTCTATGAAAAATCGATTGATTGATATTCAAATTTCTTTTTCTTTTTTGTTTTGTTTTTTGAAAGAGAATAATATTGATTATAAAGAATTTAGCATCAATTTGAATGTTATGCATAGGTATTATTGAAATGTGTAAAAATGAAGTATAACAACATACTTTGAATGGATGTCAATATAAATATCAATATAACAGTCTATTGATGTATAGAATATATTTCGATTAATCTATAAAAGATGATTAAATATGTAATTCTTAAGAATATTACATCATTTATATTAATTATTTTCAATAGTCAAATCTATTAATAACATTTTTGATAAAAAAAAATTTTTTATTTAAGTATATAATTACTTTGAATACTATTAAAAAATAATTGTTATATACTTAAGTGTTTATTGTATTCATTGTTCTATTCGATATTCTTTTGGCAATATCAACTAATAGACGAAAATGTGTTTTTGTTTGCCATATGAGATTCTCTAAACAAAGTGCCTAATGAGACGCATTGCTCACTTGAGAAGAAAAGAAGATTATTTATTTAGTCAATGTCTGAGATCATTCATTGTATATGTATTTTTGGTTGATCAATTTTGCTTATTATTAATAATGACTTGTATTATCAAGAAATTTCATTCTTCTGACTCTTCTTACATAATAATATGTCTTAATAGAAAAATTAAGAATTTAGTAGTTATTTAATGTAATTTGTTCAATATGTTTGCATGCTTTTTTCTTATTTCTTTTTTTTTTATAAAAGAAAATTGATCGTATGTTAAAGAGACATATACATAAAGCTTACATGATGATTTAATTTTATCTTAATCATGCGACATATGAATATACTTCATTCGAATTAAATACATCTATAATTGTATAAAAATGCATGCAACGTCGAAAAAGATTATTATATGTATAACCAAAAGAAGAAAAAGAAAGAGAAGGATTAGAGTTAATACAGAATATAGACTTTCATGAACCATTACCTAGTATGTCTGTGTGTGTGTGTGATTGAAATAATTCACTCCTTCTCTTTCTTTGTTCGAATAGGGGACAGCTCAAAGTATTCATCAATCAGCGACAACTAAATCTTCCTATTCATAAATATGCATTCAGTATATTGTCGATATACAATAGAAGACAGACATTAATCGATATTATGCTATTGACCATCAAAACAATTAGAATTCTTCTCAAAATTTAATGTTGTTGTTGTTATTTTTTTCATTGCAGGTCAACAAGAGAAAATTTTCTTTAGTCCTTTTTTTGCTCATACAATTGACTCTTTATTCTCTCTTTTCATCCTTATTATTAATGACTAACATATATATCGAACAACATAGAAAAAAATGTTCAACAGAGAGTATATAACTTATATGAGAGTATACATGAAAGGATGAAAAATCTTTTCCTTCTCACTCGTTTAACGTTTTGATTATGGTCATTGGCCAGTCACAGCATAGTAATAATAAGATAGTGTGTGTGTGAGGGAGAGAGAGAGAGAGAGAGATACAGGAAGATAAAATGTACATTTATATTTTTTCTTTCTCTTATAATATAGAAATTTTCTCATCTATCACTTCATTATTTTATACTAACTTCCTTAAATACGATTGTTATCATTAAATTTATCTGATTAAAACAAAAAATAAAAAATGAAATTTACAAAAAGAATTTTATGTATTATTCAAATCTTAATTTTTATACAATTATATTTATGCCAAGATGAACAATATTCAAGAATTTTAAATGATGATATTAATAATATTAATATATTATTATCTAATGAGACATTAACTGATGGTAAGTTCTTAAAATAAGATTATTTATAGAGAAGAAGTTAAAATAATGACTCATTTATGTTTCTTCTTAATCAAAAATTCAACAGTAGATAATTGGATATACATTCTTTATGTTAATCAATGAAAATAAGTCTATTCTTTCATTGTTTATAGTTAACCATTATTTAGATGATGTTCTGACAGAGAATTTATTCAATAGCAGTAATTTAATACCGGAGTCGATTATTGAATATTCATCAACAATTAATATACCTATGAAATATATCACTGATGAAGAAGATTATACATCAATTGAATCAATTGCATTTTCTATTCTTACAAATCAACAAATATTACAAGCAATAACTATTCTTGCTGGTATTGCTAATGAAAATATTAGTTATACATTTAATATTGAAGTTTGTTTTGTTTTAATTAAAAAAAAAAAGAAGAAGATTTTTTTCGTATGATTAATTTTTAGAATGATAGATTGAAAATTATTTTTTCACAAGATAATCTACTTGATATAATTTTAACAACAAAAAATGATACAGAATTAATTAATAATGGACAATGGCATCGATTATATATTGAACGATCAAATCGAAAGGTTTAAAATTTTTTTTTGATTACAATTTTTAATTTTAATAAATCAAAATGAATTTCTTTTCTATGTTTTTGTAGTTACGATTTATTCTTGATAATGTTGAACAATCAAATACTGAATTGCCTGATGAATGGCAAAAGACAATAAATATATTCATTGGAGCACAATTAATAATTGTAC